TTGCAGTGACCCAAGATCATGCACTGTACTCCAACTTGGGTGATAGCACAAGGCTGTGTCTTGAAGATAAATAAATAAAATAAATAAACAAATAGAAATGCTTTTCCAGTGAAAGCATTCTTCCAGAATGTAGATGAAATAAAGCTATTTTCAGACAAAAGAAAACAGATTTTGTTATCAGCAGACATACACTATAAGAAGTGCCAACAAAAAAAAAAGTTATTCAGAGAAAAGGGAAATGAAACCAGATGAAAGAACAGTGCTACCAGCTGGAATAAGGAGAATGGTAAATGTGTAGTTAATACAAAATACATTTTTCTTTGTAATGTCTTTAAAACACATCACACTGTTTAAGGCAAAAAACTATACAGTTGTATTGTGGGGTTTATAACATATGTAGATAAACGTCAGCATAAAGGAAGAGGGGGTGGACTCATACAGCTCCAAGTGGCCTGCGTGCTGGGAGCAGTGCTGCAATATGAACTTGGAGAAGAGTGAAGAGTTCAGTATGCAGACTGTAACCCCTAGAGCAGCAAGTCTCCATGTCTGGTCTAGAATGACCCAGAGTCCCTAAGACCCTTTCAGGGGGTCTGTGAGTTCAAAATCATTTTCATAACAATAAAAAAAGAAACAAAAAGTAATAATGCTAGAAGTGAAATCTGAATCTACTATAAGTGGAATAATAAAGGAAATAGTTGACTGTGGGAAACGTGATTTTGCTGCCACTTGGGAGGCTTTGGATGTGTAATCAAGAATTCAGTAACAGTGAGCTTGTCGCCGTCATAAGGAGGAAAGTGGCTGTGATGAAAAGGACAAAGGTGGCCCTGAGGAAGTGACAAGGGCAAAAAACCTAACATTAAAGAAATTCTCAGAGCTATTTCATGACATTGAAAGCTCAAAGGATGAAAAGAGTCCGGGTGCGGTGGCTCATGCCTATAATCTCAGCACTTTGGGAGGTCGAGGTGGACAGATCACTTGAGGTCAGGAGTTTGAGACCAGCCTGGCCAATATGGTGAAAACCGGTCTCCACTAAAAATACAAAAATTAGCTGGGCATGGTGGTACACAACTGTAATCCCAGCTACTAGGGAAGCTGAGGAGGTCTCAGGTAGAATTGCTTGAACTTGGGAGACAGAGGTTGCAGTGAGCCGAGATCATGCCACTGCACTCCAGCCTGGGCAACAGAGCAAAACTCTGCCTTGAAACAGAAAAAAAAAAGATGTTAACTTCTTATAGTAAGTTATATGGGCTGGGCACAATGGCTTACCCCTGTAATCCCAATACTTTGAGAGGCTGAGTCAGGTGGATTGCTTGAGCTCAGGAGTTCAAGACAAGCCTGGGCAACATGATGAAACCCCGTCTTTACTAAAAATACACAAATTATCCAGGTGTACGGGTGCATGCCTGTAATCCCAGCTACTTGGTGACTGAACTGGAAGGACTGCTTGAGCCTGGGAGGTCGAGTGTGCAGTAAACTGAGATCAAACCACTGTACTCCAGCCTGGGAAACAGAGTGTTACCCTGTCTCAAAATAAAGAAAGAAAGAATTAAGTTATATGGCAAGAAGACAACAAGAACTGTTCAAACTATTCTTTATAGTTTTGTTTGTTGTTGTTGTTGTTATAGAGACAAAGTCTCAGTCTTTTGCCCAGGTTGGTCTTGAACTCCTGAGCTCAAGTGCTCCTCCCACCTCAACCTCCCAAAGTGCTACGATTACAGGGATGAGCCACCATACATGACCCAAACTATTCTTGATAAGTATTTTTACAGGAAAAAAAACAAAACAAAACAAAATGAAAAACACTTAATTCTCAATGTTTCTGGCATTTTAAATTAGTATCCTAAATAAACACTAACTTTAGAATTTTTTCTTCATGTACACTTATAGCAACACTTGGAGTGTTCTCAATGTTTTGACAAAAATTTTAAAGGCCACAAAATAATAATTTTCCCATTGGTTATTAAGATCACTTTGTACTATTTGAGCTTAAACAATGATTTTTATGGTGTCTGACTACCTGGCAAATCTCTGACTGCCTGTACTTATTTTATGTGACCATTCTGAGACATGGAGCCCTTTTGATCATTGTCGGCTTTGAGAAACACAATTGTGCCCTGTTTTTTCATGGCCCCACCATCTCCAGTATCCTCTCCCTCCTGTCTCAGTTTTCTTTCCAGCTTCGCTTCTTTTACTTAACCTTTTGGATGTTGGTGATCCTGGAGCTCTGTTCTTCACCTTTTGTTTCTTACTCTACATATTCTTCTGGTTCTGGCCTTTGTCATACCTGAAACTTCTCCCCTGTATTAGCCTGTTTTCACACTGCTGTTCAAGACATAAATGAGATTGGGTAATTTATGAAGAAAAAGAGGTTCAATGGACTCACAGTTCCACATGGCTGGGGAGGCCTCACAATCATGGCAGAAGGCAAAAGGCACATCTTACATGGTGCCAGGCAAAAGGGAAAAATGAGAGCCAAGTAAAAGGGGAAACCCCTTATCAAACCATGAGAACTTGTAAGACTTATTCACTACCTTGACAAGAGTATGGGGGAAACCACCCGCACGATTCAGTTATCTCCTACGTGGTCCCTCCTACAACGTGTGGGAATTATGGGAGTTACAACTCAAGATGAGAATTGGGTGGGAATACAGCCAAACCATATCATCCACCTTAGGTGGTGATGATGATGAACACAGTGATAAAAGGTGACTTTACCAAATGGTAGGAGAGAGGTTTTTTTTTTTGGAAGCAGGATATGGAATGTCTAGATTTAAGAGCCCAAGGAGCCAATGAAGTTTATGGATAAACTATGAAATGTTCTATGTGGATATCTATGAAATGGATATCTATGGATATAGATAGCTATAAAAATTTCATTCATTCATACATTCATTTCACCAATATTTACTAACTTGTACTGTGTATCAGGCACAGTTCCAGGTGCTGGAGCACTGTGGACTAAATCATGCAGTACAATTCGATACTTTGTGAGAGAAAGAGACCACTTTCACATAACTGTTACTACAGTATATATTGTCACAGTAGTTCTACAGTTGATTCTTGAACAATGTGAGGGATAGGAATGCTGACCCCATGCAGTCAAAAATGTGTGTATAATTTTGATTCCCCCAAACCTTAACTACTAATAGCCTACTATTGACCAGAAGCCTTAGTAATAACATAAATATCGATTAAGACATATTTTGTATGCTATGTGCATTATATACTGTATTCTAACAAAATATTGTAATGTAAGTTACAAAATACATAAGTTAGAGAAAAGAACATATTATTAAGAAAGTCATAAGGAAGAGAAAATACATTTACTATTCACTAAGTGGAAGTGGATCATCATAAAGCTCTTCATCCTTATCATCTCCACATTGAGTAGCTAAGGAGGAGGAGGAAGAGGAGGAGTTGGTTTTACTGTCTCAGGGGTGGTAGAGACAGATGAAAATCTGCATATAAATGAACCCATGCAGTTCAAACCCACATTGTTCAAGGGTCAAATGAATTTTATTATTAGTTATTGTTAATCTCTTACTGTGCCTAATTTGTAAATTAAACTTGTTCATAGATATGTATATATAGAAGAAAACATAGTATATAGAGGGCTCTGTACTCTCTGAGGTTTCAGGCATCCACTGTGAGTCTTGGGACATATCCCCAGGGATTAGAGGCACTATTGTAATTGGTTCAAAATAGTGAATATGCACTTACCTGCCCTCCAGAAATACTACCCAACCTCTGTCATTCAGTTCATTAGTTATTCCAGTGGCAGAAACTACAGATCTACCTTCTGGGGAAGATATTTTATTTTGGGCAAGAAGGTCTTCAGCCCCACAAGCCATGTCACATGCATCTGCCTATTAGGACAGGCAGGGCTATTAATAAGACTGGACCAAATTAAAAATCTTGAAATTACCGTTGCAGACGCATCTTGCTTTATAAAATCACAGTATTCCTGAAAAGCCATGCATAAATCAGTTTATTTAATTCCTTACATTTACATAGTGCCTTATGGTTGCAACAGAATGCAGAGATTGTTAGTTGTTTTTTTCCTAACAACGCTAGGTAAAAGGAGGGGTCACGACTCTCATTCCCATAGAACAGAAGAGAAACTCAGAGCTAATTAATGTTCCATGGCTGGGCACAGTGGCTCATGCCTGTAATCACAGCACTTTGGGAGGCTGAAGTGGGAGGATCACTTGAGGCCAGTTCAGGGTCTCACTCTGTTGACCAGCCTGGTCAGCAAAGTGAGATCCCATCTCTACAAAAAATTAAAAAATTAACTAGGCATGGTGGCACATGCCTGTGGTCTCAGCTGCACAGGAAGCTGAGAAGGGAGAATCACTTGGGCCCAGGAGTTCCAGCCTGCAACTACTGCAACTCCTGATCGCACCACTGCAGTCCAGTCTGGGTAACAGAGCAAGACTGTCTCAAAAGCAAAACAAAACAAAATGAAAGAAAAGAAAGAAAGAAGGTAAATTCCGTGATGGTGAGTGATAGATCTGTGTTCCAAATAATACAGATGGATCATATTTTACGTATTCTCAGAATTCGTATTAAAAAGATCCCTACAGTGATTGCACAGTTAAGAATGCTCTCAAAGATGTAAACTTCCAATCTACTCTGTGGGCAACGCTAGGTTTTTACAAATCAGGGTTGCTGTGTAACATACGCACGTACTGTGCATTACTAAACCGAGTTCTAAATACAGTACAGCTGAAATCTGGTGGGTAACGTCATCATTCGGCAAATGTCGCCAGCCCCTATCATATTCAGAACCCTGTGTTCTGAGGTGCTCAAGTTCAAGCTGAGGAATTTGCTAAACAAATCTCTGGCAAGGAATCAGCAGGGATTTTCTATATCCTTAAATCCTTCCAAATAGAAATGGCAAAACATACGACTCGAGTCCATAATTCCTAAAGTTTCAATCTCTTCGCACTGCTTGAGTTTTAACTTGCTTATTCCCCCAAAGGAGTATGTCATTTACTTACGTTAAAAATGAAACAGCATACAAACTTCTGAACTCTGAGTGAGACCGCAATCAGGGTTAAAAACTGATTTCGTGCGTTTCCGTGGAAAATGGAAGACAGACGTGATGGCGAGAGACCAAGCAGTGCCACGGCCCGGTTGGCGGTACAGGGACCTGCACCTGCTGGTGTTTGTGGGAGAGCGCCGGTGTAGACGCGAACGCGGCGCGGGCCTGGGGTGGGGGCCTTTCCAGTGGTCCAGCCACACCGCGCACGCGCAGTGGTGAATACCCGTGTACGGTGTTCTTTTTCTTATTTTGAATCCATTTTCATGATGCGCTGAAATGTTGAAGTTTAAAACTGCCTACGGAGAATGTTAAGACTAAAACGACACTAAGTTTCTTCTGTTAACTATAAATGCAGGGCAGAGTGAAAGCAGAGTAGGGAAGAGTGAAAAGGGGGAAAAGGGAAGTGGTAAGAGGAAGATAAGATCAAAGAGCCGGCAGAACAGGGAGGAAAGCGGGGGTGGGGAACGGAGGTAGGAAAAAAGCCGGGCGGTGTGCGGGAAAGCCCCGCACGCTGCAGCCCCCGCGAGGCCCCAGTACGCGGTCCTCCCGCCGGCAGGGGGCTCCCGCTCGTCCGCCAGCCTCCTGCCCCGCGCGACCCGCCGCCCCGCCCGCGCCTGCGCTTCCTGCCCCTCCTCGTCCGGGATGCTGCTGCCGCTACTGCGGAGTAGCTGCTTCCCTTCCTCCTCTCCCGGCGGTGGCGGCGGCGGCGGCGGCGGAGGAGGGGATCCAGGTTCCGAGAACCGACCGGCAGCGCAGTTGCAGCGCGGAGCCCACGGGTTGCTGGGGCCGCAAGAGCGGGCGGACGCCGAGCCCGGGGCCGACCCCCCGCGCGCGGCGGAGGCTGAGGGGGCGCCGGGGCCCGGGGCGCGCGGCCGGGGGGCGGGCGGCGACGGCGGGCGGCGGGCCGAGCGGGAGCCGCATGCGTGTATGGATCCGGGCGCCGCGCTGCAGAGGCGGGCTGGGGGCGGCGGAGGCGGCCTGGGCGCGGGCTCCCCGGCGCTGTCGGGCGGCCAAGGCCGCCGGAGAAAGCAGCCCCCTAGGCCGGCCGACTTCAAGCTGCAGGTCATCATCATCGGCTCCCGCGGCGTGGGCAAGACTAGCCTGATGGAGCGCTTCACCGACGACACCTTCTGCGAGGCCTGCAAGTCCACCGTGGGTAAGGGCGCCGCGGCGACCTCGGTCCGGGCAGGGCTGGGCCTCCTGGCGCCCGGGCCGGTGCCCTTCCCCGTGGGCCTCGAGTCTCATCGAGCCTGGGAGCCTTTCGGGGATAGGGCTCTCGGTGAAACTAGGGGCAGAGGTTTTCGTGGAGCGCCTTCCACCCCAAGCCCAAAGCCTGGCGGAGGTTTTCGGGCCGCCTCTGCGCAGACCTGCCCTTGGCCCCCGGCGCTGTCTCTGAGGTTCTGGCGACCCGGGGGGACTGGGGGAGCGGCTCTCCACGGAAACTTCGACTCTTAGCATGCTCGCCCAAGAAAAAGCTGGGTGCAGTGGGGGCTCAGGCAGGCAGGGGAGTGAACGCCGAAGGCCGCTGTCGCCCGGGCCGCCCCTGCAGGCCAAGGCCAGCGCGCGCTGTCTGCCGCGGATGTGATCCCTTCGCAACCAGGGCAGTTTTCTTATGTTGAACCCATTTTCATGAAATGATGAAGTTTAAAGGCACTTACGGAGAATGTTAAGACTAAAACTACACTAAGTTTCTCGTGTTAACCGTAAGTACCGGTCAGAGGAACTTCAGCTGTTTTTATCCGTGACCTCAAACAACCCGGTGACTTGGCGGGCGTGGGGCTGATTCCTCCAGTACCATTCTTTTCGGTGAAGGACAGGAGTGAAGTAACTACAGGAACGCTCCACGGTCAAAGAGGAGAATAGCCGCGGATCTGAAATAAAAACTGCAGGGGAAAATTTTTTTAATGAAGTCACGCTTAAAGGATTTGACTTTGAGATTTGTCAGGTGGGTGTGGGTAGCAGTTGCTTCCATGGAAAACCCCTTAAAAGATTCCAAACTAGGAGAAACCCATTCTTTAAAATAAGGCAGTTACCTTCCGTTATAGGAAGTGAGAGATTGGGCGGTCCAAAAAACTGAGTCGTCAGGAGAATTGATAGAATTAAAAGTATCATTTCATGTAATTCTGTTTATTAATAGTGTTATAACCAGTGGTAGTTCCAAGGCTGTTGGTACGACTTTGAGATGAATTGGTTTGAAATTGTCATGTAACCAAACAGTACTACATTTAAAGTGTCTTACTGGAAAATTAAACCACCAATTTTTGTATTGTCTTTTTGTTTTTTCAGAGCTTACTTCCCTTAATGCTTTATTGGAATAGATCATTTTGGAACTGTTTTGTGCTGTCTGTACCATTTGTTTTTAAAATGTTGGCGTTGGGGACATGATATTAAAATTAGCAGCGTAACTTTGCCTGTTTCAAAATCCAATCTTGCATTATACAGAGTACAGGGAGTTGTTAAGCCATCAAATGAGGGTTATGCTGTTATTTTAGTACCTGATACAAATAAAGTAGGGTTAAATTCAGTTCAGAATTGTCAATCTGTTATGGCTCTGCACTTAAGTATATGAAAATGAGGGATAATAGAGTTGCACTGTGTGATGAAGAGAAATCAGGTACCTATAGGTGGGTAACTGAATGCTTGGGTGCATGGAGGGTGAGATGGATGAGCAAAGGTGTGCCTTAGAATGCAGAGGAGAGGGGAAGAAGTGTTTTCCAAGCCTGGCAGCAGTGGAGCAGCCCCTTCCCCTCACCTCTGGGGAAGGTTTCTTTAGGGGACTTGGGAATGAATACTGCGAGACCTTGACTGCCCTGCTAAGGAGGGTGGACCCTATCCTATGGGCACCTGGAACCAGAAGGCATCTTAATAAGACATTGGCATGAAGACAATGAAACTCATTTGGCAGAGTTGCATAGGATGTTTGGGAATGAGGACAAAACCAGGAGGCAAGGAGACCAGGCAGTTGTTTCTGTGTCCCTTAGTATACACTTTCTACTCTGAGTGTGGATGAATTTCTCTCATCCTCATTTTTGTTTGCTTCACATGTAGCCTGTAATACTTACAGTACTGAAGTGCTAGTACTCCAGTACTCCGTGCGTCCTTCTAACTGTGGGATGTTCAGAGAATGATCATGGCCTCTGGCTTGCTAAAAGCATGAAGACTCTGAGAAAGCTAACCAGCCCTGCTTCAGTTTCTGCTTCAGAGTTGCTTTTCAAAACCTTCTACTCATCAGATAATTCATCGAGCACCTACTGTGTGTTGGGTATTATGCTGTCCAGAAGTGGATCAGAGCTCCTGGGAGCTACATGACCGCTTTTTAAGGCAGTGACAAATGTGTATGGGTATTTGGGAGCACAGCGAAAGCACCTCCCGTCAGCACTAGGGATGAGACCTGGTTGGAGAAGGCTTCCTCGTCACTGGAATGTTTGAAGATAAGTTCCTTACTCTAGTTCCTTTAGAAAAATGCTAATTAAATATGGTACTGGGTGTGGTGTAGAACTGTGGTTGCCCCACCTGAATGGTTACCATTAGAGCAGTTAGCTCACAGGGTCCTTCCAACGCTGGTTTTTCTGGTTTCATCTCCATGTATTACAGTGAGTTGCATATAGAGCAAGAGTCTCTTCCACAGTAGGACTTTTTCCCTATCCTGTCAAGGCTTATGGATATGTGCTGCTCACAGCAGCCTTCTCGGAAAGATGGTGAGCTTCAGAGCATGGCCCAAGGAAGAATCAGGGTCTTGCTCTGTCATCCAGGATGCAGTGCAGTGGTACGATCATGGCTCACTACAGCCTTGACCTGCCAGGCTCACACAATCCTCCTACCTCAGCCTCCTGAGTAGCTTGGACTACAGATGCACACCACCAAGCCCTTTTTTGATTTTTAGTAGAGATGAGGTCCTACTATGTTGTCCAGGATGGTCTCAAACTCCTAGTCTCAAGCAGTCCTCCTACCTTGGCCTCCCAAAGCCCTCAGATAACAGGAGTGAGTTACTGCGCCTGACCAGTAAGTGCCCTTTTAAAGTGAATGGGATTCATTTGAACTTTCTGTAAAAGATCAATAGTGAGGTCCCTAAGGATTTGAGATGATGAACTATTGGGTAAAATTATAAATGAGCAAAATGTTAATTTTTTTGTATTGTTAATCACATTAGAAACTGGTTAAAAGATACACAGAATTCACAAGGGTATGAAAAGCTGAGAGATTGTGTTTACTACTTGGCCTATTTAATGAAAATTATCTAATGGAATTGTCTCTTGTTTTTAAATGGCATTTTATTTTCATGGAATTATTTAGTCTGATATAATTTGACAAGTTATTTTAAAAGGTACAGAGAGGAGCAGCTTTCAGAGTTTCAGAGACGGAAAAAAGTAGTTGACTAAACAAATTTACGACTAACATGACTGACTGGTCCACTATTTTTTTCATAACGATGCCTGTATCATAAGCATACTTATCTACTGTGAATCTCTGTGTGCTTTTACAAGTTGAGGTCATTACCTCCTGAGAGAAGCTGTAGAATCCATTTCTATCTAGCAATGCCAAATTCTTGATCTTGGTTCCTTCTGTTTGACTCCCACTAGTTTTAGACTAAACAGGTAAATGTGCTTTTTTTTGAAAGTATATTTCAAAAAACAACTCCATAAAATTACATATGTCAACTTTTGTTTTATTTCTATGTTACTGTTGGAAGCTAGCTGTTAATTTTGTTTCTTTTGAAATCGTTTTACCTGATAAAAACGTACCCCTACCCTTGCTCCAACAGCATTGCATGCTAGGAAAAATGAACAAGAAATGTGTGCTCTTAGGCGGGCAAATCACGAGGTCAAGAGATCAAGCCCAACATGGTGAAACCCCGTCTCTACTAAAAATACAAAAAAATTAGCTGGGTGTGGTGGTGCGTGCCTGTGGTCCCAGCTACTCGGGAGGCTGGGGCAGGAGAATTGCTTGAACCCAGGAGGCAGAGGTTGCAGTGAGTCGAGGTCGCGCCACTGCACTCCAGCCGGGGGCGCCTGTTGACAGAGTGAGACTCTGTCCCAAAAGAAGAAATGTGTGCTCTTGCTCAAGGCTCTGCCACTAACTAGTTCATGAGTTTGGATAAGTAATTTAGTTGTCTGTGCATATAAGTAGAATATTGTGTTAGTAGTCACTGCTACTTGGTGAGTACTTACTACACCAGCAGAAGGCCTTATCACAGCCCTGAAAGTTACCCGTTTTACAGAGGACCATGCAAAGTCTCAAGAGAGGTAGAAACTTACCCCCTGTGACACAGCTAGTCAGCAAGTGGTCAGGGCCAGGGCTACAAGTGAATTCTTTTTAACTATCTTTCTTTCTGTTCCTTAGCTTACTTTGAGATTTAAATTGACTTTGCTTTGTTGAAAATACTGATGGCTCACACATGTAAAGGTCAGACGTGATGGAGCCCTTTCCTTGTGTTAGAATTTGGTCCTTGTTACAGCCCCATGAAGATAGTGACACAGTTATCCTATGTCATTAGTGAAACTGATTTTCTTTAAGTGTGTCCCTGTCATCACCTGTCACTTTCCTTTTGGATATTAAAATAATGCTCCAAGAACTGCTTTTTAATCTGTATATTCCATAATACATATTCAAATATCTTAAG